TTCACTTTCATTTGAGAGGCAGTCTTTCAAATGACCCTTTTCGTGCTTTTGCTATCTTTACGTCCTTTTCGATCACTGCTCGCATATTTTCTTTTTTGTTACCCCAATACTAGGTGTGTTTTCTTCGAGATAGTTGAACGAAGTTAGTTCCATTTTTACCGTGGATTGAACTGGAGCACCTTCATTTGGATTCGATTCATTTAATCTAGAGTGACTGTTACGGCGAAAATTGCAAATCAGAAGGGTGTGGCAATCGTTTCCGTTCGTTTTGATATGAGTACATCGTGTTTCACATTTCAGTTCATCGCAGATCGCGACAAAGTTGCAAACTTGATCACACTGCCGCTCAATTTTCAATTAGATATGTATATGGCCGGTCGATTGGAGAATGTGAGTTTGTGCTCCTCCCTTTTTTGCTGTCGCTGTGCTGAACACTAATTGGTGTCATTCGTTCGAATGCTATATTATTTCAGCATCTCAATGAACTCATGCGTGTGATAGATATGGTCGTGGAAAAACATGCTGACGAAGAGATGATGAATACAGTGGCTGAAATGATCACTTACTTCTCGACGAATACCTCAGTTGCACAGAATACAGAGACCTACAGATTGAAGGTTTGCTGTTTTTGTATTTACTGTTTTCCTATGTATCAAGCAGAGACAAGCATGTGGGTGTCAAATTCTGTGAATCGAAATTCTAGTCAGGGCTTTCGACATTTTATCACTTAAGGAATAGATTGTTATAGGTTTTGAGAGGTTGCATCTAGTATTTCTATCGAATGTATTTATTTACATCAACTGCTTCCGCAAGTGTATCTTTATTATTTTCTACGCATTCAAGTACTAGTAAAATCCTGAGTGGGATTTGAGTGCATGGCGCATCCCAGTAATTGGTCAAAGAGGGGTGGGCTAATTCTAGGATTGCACGTCAAGAAAGTGTGGCGGTATAAAATACTCCTGAACAATGATTTCAGCTTATTGATGGGTTGGCTCTGCAACTTCGTCACACTGTACAGCGTTGCATGAATGAAGACCAATGGGACGAAGAGGATGAGGCAGCAATGCTGGCCGCTTTCCGTAAGATAACAGCATTCGCAAGGTTGGAACTTGGTTATAATCTCTAATTTTTATAGCTGGAATCAAACAGTTTTGGTTGTGTTTGAAGTTTAAAATATGAATATTGCTGCGAACCCGTCATTGAAATTTTTGTTTTAAGTCACATTGACTTGAAGAAGTGGGATTTGTGGGATGTGGTACTGCATGTGCTCAACAACCACGACGACAAAGCACCTCGTGACGTCATTGACAAGTCAATCTGGTTCCTTTTCATGCAGTTAAACTGGGATTTGGTCAGACTTGTTCGAGACCAAGAACCAAACAAGACGGTAATATTCACTGTATATCTTCTATCGAAATGTTTTCATTTCAATGTCACGTTACAGGAAGCGGTGAAGAAATTGAAAAAGCGTCGTGATCAATTTTTGCACGATGTCAATATAATTCTTAGTGAAGGTGCCTCTGGAGTTGAACTGGTAAACTGAAGTCTTAACTAAATGATGACCTTGCAAGATATGTGTATGCAAGCAAGCACTGTTTCAGGCGTTCCAGTGTCTAAATGATTCTCTC